AGCACTTGCCTGGCAAACATAAGGGCCTGAGTTCAATCCCCGGTTCCGCAAAAAAAAAAAAAAGTCCTTTTTTTTAAAAAGATGGTCCCTTAAAACCACATTTGAGACACCTTCAAATCTCCCTATGTTCTGGATTAAAGTTAAAGTAGAACATCCTGAGATAACCACAAAAGCACTTTAAAGTATACTTCGATTTCTAAAACCCTATCTTTGTTTGTGAGATTTTGGAGTAGACTGGACATAAGCGACCCACTTCGGGTATTGCTGTCTCCTGGTACTCAGATGAGAGTATCTCAACTTGCAGGTGAACAAGCTCAGGACACCCAGATTCTGCATCACGATGAATTACATAATGTATAACGTTATGTCTTATAATGTAATGATGGAAATAAAGTAAACAATAAGTCTAACGTGCTTGAATTATTCTGAAACTAACCCTTCCGTTTGTAGAAAAATTGTCTTCCCTGAGAAACTAGTCCCTGTGCCCAAAAAATTGGGGACTGTCCTAAGCTCTATGCTCATTCTCTATTTTTGAACTTATTTTACAATAACAAGGTAAAGAAGACTATGGGGCATGCTCCTTGTTACATCTACCCTTCTCCATCCTTCACACACATTAATGTAGTCTATAGGAAGTAGGGAGGTAAGAAAGAGATCAACTCAAAACAAATGTATTAAGTGTTAAACCTCACTAGTAATTAGAGAAATACAAATTCTATCCAGAATACTAACCCACCTTTTTTTCTGGCAGGGTTAGAGGGGCAGGTTTTCTCAATACAGTTTTGCTATGCAGTTCGGGATGGCCCTGAATTCACTATGTAACCCAGGTTGGTGTCAAACCCAAAGCCATCCTCCTGCCTCAGCCTCCTGAGTGCTGGGATTATAGGCCTGCACCACCACACCCATTCCCCCTACCTTTCCATGGACACAAATCTTAGTATCACTGTGAGCAACTATTAGATGACTAGTGGGCTAAGGGTACTCTCAGTGGTACAGCACCAGCCTAACATAAATGATACTGTGCGTTTAATACCCAGCATAAAACCAAAAGGTATCTTTATACTGAAGCCAAAACATGCACACCTCTGCACTAAAATATACACTCACTGATTACACACTGCAGAAATAGGCGATAGGTGTAACAGAATACATACAAAGATATTCCCTGCATGCTGTCTGCAATAAATGAACACTGAAGACTGGGCGTGGTGGCGTGTGCCTGTAATCTTAGCTCTTGGGAGGGCGGATCACTATGAGTCTGATCTAGTAGTGAGACCCTGAACACCCGTACACCTTTCCTTAAAATACAAAAACAAAAACAAACAAACAAAAAAACCCACACACACAAAAAAACACTGAACTATAAGAATGGAAAAAAAAAAAAAATACACCATATACATGAGGGTAAGTAAGTTAAAATGAATAAAACAGTTCTAAAAATATCAACTTGGAGCCAGGCACAGCAGTACATGCTTGTAATCCCAGCACTCTGAGAGATTGAAGCAGGAGAACAGTAAGTTTGAGTTATGCGTTTAGAATTTAGTGAGACTCTATCTCAAAAGAAGAAAAGCACTGGGGATGTAGTTCAGTGTGAAGACCCTAGGTTCAACTCCTACTACTGTTAAAGAAAAGAAAGGACTGGGGATACAGCTCAGTAGCACAGTGTCTGCTTGGCAAGTATGAGGTCCTAAGTTTGTTTCCTGGTACAAATAAATAAATAAATAAATAAATAAAGTTGGATGTCTCTCAAAAACACAGTTATTGAGCCAGCCAGACAGCTCAGTGGATTAAAGCACCTGCTTAGGTAGATACTGGGACTAGGGTTCAACCCCGCGTGTGCCGTGCCAGCCCCACCCCCAGGGTGCCCTGAGAAGTCAATTGAGAGTGGGCCATGGTGACAGGGAAGCTGAAAATGAGAGGATCACTGTGAGTCCGATCTGTGTAGTGAGACCCTATAGACCCTGTACTAAATACATTAAAAACCAACCAACCAACCAACCATATTTATTAAGGGCTGGGGCTATTATAATTCAGCACATATGAGGTCCAGCGTTCAGTCTCAGTAACACACACACACACACAAAGAAAGGCTAAAAGCAAACTGTAAGCAAATAACATGGTACTATACCTTGTATTTTTAAATTTTTTTTAAATTTAAAAATGTTTTAAAAAATTTAAATGTAAGCTGGGCTGGTGACGCATGCCTATAATCCCAGCGTTGGTAGACTCAGGCAGGAGGGTTGAAAGTGTGGGCCCAGCTTGACAATTTAAACTGGGCATGGTGATGCATGCCTCCCAGTGATCCTGCACTTGGGAGGCTGAGCAGGAGGATTGCTGCAAATTTGAGGCCAACCTGGGCCACACAGTGAGCTCCAGCTTAAACCGCATACCTTGGCTCAAAAACACCAAAAAAAAAGAAAAAAAAAAAAAAAGAAAGAAAGAAAACGACAAGAAGTGGTGGCATGGGCTGGTGAGATGGCTCAGTGGTCTAAAGCACCTACTTAGAACAAGCTTGGCAAAGCACAGGGACAGTGGTTCAATCCCCCAGCACCACATGCCAGCCAGCCTCGCCCCCTGGTGGGCTGAGCTGCCCCCCCCCCCGACAAAATAAATAAATGTTTAAAAAAAAAATAAAAAGTGGTGGCAGCTTGACAATTTAGTGAGACCTTATCTCAAAATGAAAAATGAAAAGGTCTGGGAGCATAGTTCAGTGCAAAAGTAACTTCTGAAATGTGCTTTAAAGTGTGTGTGGGGGGCTGGGGAGATGGCTCAGTGGAATAAGTGCTTCCCTTGCAAGTGCTAAGCGCCTGAGTTCAATCCCCAGTTCCGCAAAAAAAAAAAAAAAAAAAAAGAAAAAAGAAAAAAAGAAAAAGAAAATTTGTTAAAGGGGCTGGTGAGATGGCTCAGTGGTCTAAAGCACCTACTTGGAACAAGCTAAGCTAAACAAAGCACAGGGACCGCGGTTCAATCCCCAGCACCACATGCCAGCCAGCCCCGCCCCCTGGTGGGCTGAGCTGGCCCCCCCAAAAAAAAAAAAGGGAAAAAAAAAAAAAAGGGGAAAGGTTAAAAAAAAAAAAAGTGTGTGTGGGGAGATGCAAGGAGATTGGAAAGTTTAATACATAATGAAGCTGGATAGCAGAATGTCTGAAAATGCCCCCAAGTAAATTCTGTTTGCTGGGGGTGTAATTCAGGGCTTGCAGGAAGGCTTGGACGTGATCCCCAGCACCGCAAAAAGGCAGAAAAACAAAAAACAAACTATTTAAAAAGTTCCACTCCGGAGAACAAACCGGATGGTGGGGCAGTGCCTATTCTTTCCAAGACAGCCTTCTCGACTTCTTAATCTACCCAAAAACATTGAGCTAAACGCCCACCGCGGCCAGCCAACAGCCTGCCCCTCGTCAGCAAGTCCTAGGACAGAGGGCAGAAGACCCCCACGGAGAGGCCGGCCTGGCCCGAGCTGCGGGCACCAAAGAGCTTACCTGCAGTTCTCCTTGAAGCGGCACTTTCCCTCCAGAAAGAACGGGCACGGCTTCAAGGACTTGTGAGTGGGGTACAGGTAGAGCACGCGGACGCAGGCCGTGCCATCCTCTGCCTGCTCGCTGCCCACCACCATGGCATTGTGATACTCCAGGGTGCCCCACGCACTGTAGTAGGGGGCGCTCACCTTCGCCCCGTTCAGCTCTTCCTCCTGCTCCTCCTCCTCCTCCCGCCCAGGTCCAGCGGGTTCTGGTCCTGCCTCTCTCTCAGGGCCGGTCTCCAGGTCTGGCCGGGGCGCGGCGGGCACCTCCACGCCCTCGGCAGCGGCCTCCTGGAACGCCAGGTACTCGGCGTCCTCCCGGGGGGCGCACTCCGGGTCCAGCGTGGCCAGCAGCTTGCTCTTCCTGACAGACACCAGGCTGGCCTCGGTGAGCTCGATCAGCTCCTTCAGGTCGCCCTGCAGCTGGCGCAGGTCCGCCTGCTCAGAGGCGTCCAGGCCCGCAGCCAGGGCCAGCTCCACTTGCCGCAGCTGGCCATGGTAGGTCTGGAGGGCCGTCTCCAAGCTCTCCTCGTCCATCCCGAGAGGCAGGCTGGCTGCCAGACGAGAGGCGCGGCCCGCCGAAGAGCAGCTAGGCGAGCCCGGGCCCTGCGCCTGGGAGCCCTGGTCGGGACGCTCCCCAGACGGCGAGCGCTCGCTCACAAAGGGCGCGCGCTCAGGGCTGGCCGCACTCGACCCTGCTCGCCGCCGCCTCCTTTCCTGGGACCGCGGCCAGGCTTGCAACGCGCAGACCCGCCACCCGCCGCCCGCCGCCTGCCGCCCCCCGGCTCCCGGGCCTCGCCCGCCGCCGGAACTTCCTCTCTGGCGCCTCAGCTGCCGGAAGCGCCCGCACGCAGGGGTTGCGGCGCGCTGGGGCTGCCGGGAGCGGCTCCGCCCCTACCCGTCATGCTCCGCGCGAGGTCGGCTCTGGGTCGGCGGGTGAGGCGTGCGGCGGAGGCTGCGGAGCCGGGCCTGGCGGGTGGGCACCGGGCAGAGGCGGCGGGGGCAGGGTGGCGAGGAGCGGCCGGGAGGGCCCCGGGAGTGGCGGAGTGGCAG